CTGTGGGCTCCGTAGGGGGAGGATTTCTCACCCTTGTTGTCCTGTCTCCATGGTTGCAGGCTGGCCTGTGCTGCTGGGGCTCACGGGGATCCCATCACTGATCCAGCTCCTTACACTGCCCTTTTTCCCTGAGAGTCCCAGGTACCTGCTGCTCCAAAAGGGCAACGAAGAGCAGGCACGACAAGGTACAGTGTCATCCTTTGATGGAAGGGGAGATGGAAGGGGGTGGATCTGACTGTGGGACACCACTGACGGCAAAGCGTGAAATTCCTCACTGGTGGTGAAGGTGGAATTCTTGCAGCACTGCTCCTTCCTCCGCATGTGTGAATCCCCAGCTTCCCACCACGGAGGCACTGCTGCCCAGCGTTACATGTTGTTCTGTCTTGATTTGAAGCAGGAGAGCTCACTGTAAAACTCACTTTGCTCTCCCAACTAGCCCTGCAGAGGCTGAGAGGCTGCGATGACGTGGATGACGAGATAGAAGAAATGTTCCAAGAGGGCCAGTCAGAAAAGGAAGAAGGGCAGTTCTCTGTGCTCAGCCTGTGCACCTTCAGAGGCCTGAGGTGGCAGCTCATCTCCATCATCGTCATGATGATGGGCCAGCAGCTCTCCGGGGTCAATGCGGTGAGTGGGGAGTGGGAAGGGCAGTGGGGTGGAAAGGAAGGGATGGATGAGGTTGATGACGCAGGGCAGTGCTGACACAGGAGATAAAACCCAGGACACAGGAGTAACCCTTCATCCAGGACACTGGTTCATATTGTGGTGGGTTGACCCTGGCCAGTACCAAATCCAGCACAGACAGGTACAGGGGCAGGCTCATATACAGATGCAGGATCAAGCTGTCCTGTTAAGGATAATTTGGATGTTTTTAGAGTGCTTGGGCCTGGATCCAAACAACAGTGTCTTCAGAAATAAAATAATTCAGTCCTCAGGCTTCAGTGCAGCAGTGACAGGATGCAGAGCAGCCAAAATGGGATTCCCACGTTCTGCCCTTGGCCACAAACAAACACAGCTGTGGTTTTGCAGGTCTTCTACTACGCAGACAGAATCTTTGAGTCAGCAGGTGTGCAAAGCAGCAGCATCCAGTATGTCACTGTGTCCATAGGGGCCATCAACGTCGTCATGACTTTGCTTGCTGTGAGTTTCTGTTGGGGCTCTCTGAGCTCTGACTTGTCCAGTCTCCCCTGTCTGTGTCTGTTTAATTTATATTCACCAAATTAGAGAATTCCAGAACGATTTGGGTTGGAAGGGACCTAAAAGATCATCTCCTTCCAACTCTCTGCCATGGGCAGAGAAACCTCTCACTAGAATGTTACTCACCCATGAGGTGAGGTGTTTTGCACAGGTGTCCTGTGGTGTCCCTTGGGTGAAGACACCTGGAACAAAAGACCCCAGGTGTTGGGTCTCTCACCCTCTCCTGTCTCTTTCAGGTTTTCATTGTGGAATCCCTGGGGAGGAGGATCCTTCTCCTCGCTGGCTTTTTGTTGTGCTGTGCTTCCTGTGCGGTGTTAACCTTGGCCCTCAACCTCCAGGTCTGTACAAATGGCTCAGGTGATCCTACCCAAGCACTTCTGGACTTCCCAGGGAGCAGGCCAGGGTTATATTTTGAAGTACCTCTTGAAAAGCTGTGATCCTGCTTGTCTGAATACTACTTCCAGTATGTCACATTCCTAACACCCGTTGCATCCATTGGTTGGCAGCAAGGATCATACCCAGGCTGTGATTTTGTGGCTAATTATGGACACATCTGGCATTGGAGGGTGACACTGGCTTTAGAATGCCTTCAAATCTTATTACAAACAGTGCCTTGAATGTGTTGGTGGTGTTCAGATAGGAACCACATCTAACCTGTGATTCAATCCTTCACAGACCACGGTGTCCTGGATGTCCTACCTCAGCATAGCCTGTGTCATTCTTTACATCATTGGGCATGCCATAGGAGCCAGTAAGTATGCACAGCCTGGCCAGTCTGCTCTACAAGCTGGCTAAAGCCAAGTGTTATGTTCCATTTCAACCCACAACCTTTGTGGAGCTCATTCATAGACACTGGATTTCATCTCTGTGTGGCCACGCACCACATAAGTCATTTATTTGCCCTGGGTTTTTGTTTGTTTGTTTACTTGTTTGGTTTTTTTTTTTTATTTAATCCTTATTTAATTTATTGGGTGCTCCTAAACACTTAGGAGTTAGAAACCATTGCCTGCCACTGAAGTGGCTGGAACATTTTTTTTTTAACATTTCAACCGTTTGAACAAATGGCTGAAATGAAAAAAAAACAAACCAGTGTAATCAAGAATTCAGAGTGGAGGAACTGCCCTCGGGGTTTCCAAATGTCCAACTGCCTTCCAGGTCCGGTTCCCTTTGTCATGATCACCGAGATGTTCCTGCAGTCGTCCCGGCCTGCAGCCTTCATGGTGGGAGGGTCTGTGCACTGGCTGAGCAACTTCACCGTGGGGCTCGTGTTCCTCTACATGGAGGTGAGATACAACCCCACAACAGGGCAAAACTTCAGCTTAAAATTAATCCCTTCGCCCCTGTTTAATCCCAAAAGCTGTAAATGCCCCTGTTGGATCCCAGTACCCGTCTGTAGGATTATATGTTAAGGGCAAGAAACTGATGTTAGTCAGCATTTTCTTATCACACCTGTCTGATGCACGGGCTTTAAAAGAAAGCAGCTACTTTGCCAGGTGAATGTCTCATCCTGAACTCAGGAGCATGGAAAAGATGGCAAATTCCCCATCTTTCCCTGTGTTTCTCAGGGAGCCAATTTTACTTTTGATCTCTGGGTCCCCCAGTTCAAACTGATCCCCAGTAGTGACCCACAAACTGCAGCAGGTGCTGATTTTAGCCTGTGCAAAGGGAGCTGGTGAGTTCACTTTGATTTAGTTTGATTTAGCTTGATTCACCCTCCTTTGCCACTAAATTCATGGTGTTTCCAAAAACCCATGGTGGTGGTATGAGAAGACAGAATCTAGAACCACCCCATCTTCTAGTTGTTCAGCTTTAAAATACGTGCACACCGCTGTGGCTGCATTTTTTACAGCCAGTGCAGGGTGCACCATGTCCAAGCCATGTACCTGCCCACCTGGAATGTTTCCCTGATCCCTGCTCTCTCCTGTCCTTGCCCTAGGCTGGGCTGGGGCCCTACAGCTTCCTCATCTTCTGTGCCATCTGCCTGGCCACTGCACTTTACATCTTCTTCATCGTTCCCGAGACTAAGAACAAAACCTTCATGGAAATCAACAGGATCATGGCCAAGAGGAACAAAGTGGAGATTCAGGAAAACAAGGAAGAGCTGAAGGATTTCTGTGCTGTCCCGGGTGGGCTGCAAGAGAGGACGATGAGCTTTAGCAGTCAGCTGTGACACAGCCCAGTGTCTGGCCTGGCAGGGACATCCCTCAGGATCTGTTCAGTGGGAAAACAAATACATTGATTCATCATTTGATACTGCTCTGAGAATCACAGAATCCTTAAGGCTGGAGAAGACCTTTACCATCGAGTCCAAATGCAAACCTAATGCTGCCAGTTCCACCTCTTGTCACCAATGTCCCTGATCTCCTGACTGACACACCTTGGGAGACACAAGCCAGCCCTTGTCTTGTCACAAGCCAGCACCACGCTCCTCTGAGGAACTGTCACTCGTGTATTTGAGGGTCTAGCACGGGGAAACTAAATTTAATTTGTTATCTGAGGGTGCTGCCCTCTGTGTTGAAAAAAGCAGAATTGTTGAACAGCCTGGCATGGATTTGGTGGTGTTGATGGAGAGAGTCCTTCACACGGTTTAGTTTAACCTTACAAAATTACTTTTATACCTGCCCTCAAATTTGTGATATATGTGTTGAAAAAGAAACTGTTTTCATGTTCTGTCTCTACATCCCTTACAGAAAAGAAGGCAAAGGGCTGTGCCTGGCCAGGGCACAAGGATTGCACAGGAGCTGCTTTACATCCCCTTTCCTATGTGATATGTCTGCAGGGGAAGGGTGGTGAGTAGACAGTGATAAACAGAAGGAAACACATGTGCAGGGAGGATGGTGAGAAAGCCAGACTGGGTGAAGGATGGGACAGAGATTTTATTTGAGAAAGTGGCTCCTGTGACCAAGGAGAGCAGGTCTTTGGCACGAAGGATTTAGGTAGGGGGATCTAAAATTCCTGCGAGGGGTGTGACAGCCCAAGGTGCTGGACTGTGCCTCAAGTTCTGCTGTTCTTTGCCTCTACCCCACTGATGGAGGCTTTGCTCTCTTGGACAGACACCCTGGAGCAGCAGCAGGGGCACGGTGAGCCCATACAAAGCAGAAGGAGAAACAAGCCAATAATCTCAATTCTTCTCAGTTCCCCCAGCAAGCAGTTCAGAATCTCCTGATGCCTTAATTAAAAAAACAGCAGCTGGGATCACTGGCAGCTGGTGTCAGCCTCCAGAACCACCCCCCCGAGGAGGGCCATGGGGGTTTGTCCCCAGGCTATGACATCCCCCTTCGGCTGCCCCGGTTTGCACAGCGCGAGCGCCCGAACCTCCGCAGGGCTGAGAACGTGGCTCCACAGGTTCACCTGAGCCAGCCACCCTGCAAAACCATTGGAGAACGTCCCAAGGAGAGTGTCTCTGTCTTTTCCAAGGACAAGCATCCCTCCAGCCTGGCTCACATACCCCTTCTGGACGCTCACTGCTTTGCCGGCCGCTCCGTTGAGCCACAGGTTTGCCATTCCCGGCTGGGAGGCCCAGGCCAGGCAGTAGTGCAACCAGTCCTGTGCCTTGTGGTGCAGGGGGAAGCTGAGGGAATGGCCTCCTACCCACAGCCCCACCTCTGTGCCCACGGTCACCACCAGCTCGTTGTCCCTCTCCCGTGTGGAGTAGGACAGGACGGTCTGGCTCCCGGAGTGCCGGGATCTGGCCCAGAAACACAAGGTGAAGGCTTGGAGGGACATGTCACGGAGGGGATGGACATCCACAAAGCTCTCAATGTTTTCCACAGGGAAGTAGAAAGCTGGAAAAGCGCTGGGTTTAATACCTGAAAGAACCAAAAAGGCACTGGTTACATTTCCTGCCGTGCCTATAAATAAGCCCAAATCCTGAAGAATTGCACCCATAGCCTGAGTCTTGAGCCACAGTTACTGGTGTGTGTTGTGCCCACAGGGAAGAGGCTTGAAACAATGAAAAACTGAGCTCCCTCACACAACTGTTTGGGAAAAGTGCTTTTTCCCCCTCCTTCTTTCTCTTTTTCTCATACTGCATAAAATAGAGGTGACAATTATTTATCCTGGGGGAACTGTGAGCTTAAATGTTTCACTGCTTGTAAAAATGTGCTCGCATGTTGCAGGAGAAAGCTGCAGTTGCTGTGGGAGTATCTACATTAGGGCTGGCCACAACAGTGCTTTAATTGAAGAATTTCCATCAGCAGGCCTAGATATGGGACAAAATTCTGCCTGCACGTGTCAGTACCAAACCTGGCAATGATTTAGGCCATCAAGGTCAGCAGGGCGTGGGCTCTTCACCCTCCCAAGGTAAGCTGGACCCCACAGCTGTGTGTTTTACCTGCTTGGCTCCCTCCATTCAGCAACTCTGTCTTCATGTCTTGGAGCTGCGTCTGGATTTGATCCAGTCTGAGGGTGAGTTCTTCTGGATGGCATTGTGCTAGAGCAATCAGACAGGTGAATTTACAGAAGGCCAGGACATCTACACTACATCTTCTACTAGATCTTCTACACTAGATCTTCTAGTTTGGGGGAAAACCTTTGTTTTAAAATGCAGCATCTCTCCTCCCTGTGGTGCCCAGCCGCTCTCACACCTCACCCAGACACACCCGAGCTGAGGACCCTCCTGTGGTGCCACGTAGCACCAGTTACCCTGGAGATGTGTGTGACAGTCAAAACTGCCCCAAACTGTCAAAATACAGGCTGGCACACACCCTGCAGCCACCACTGCACCTTTAGAAGCCAAGTGTGTTGGCAGGGAAAGAGGAGGCGTGTGGGACATCACCCGCGCAGGGATGCTGCTGCTCCTGGGAGAGCTGATCTCCAGCACGTCCAAACTCGCAGCTGAACACCTTCCACGCAGGTTTCTCGCCCCTCCCCAGGTAAGCCTAAGTCCTGCCTGCTGAGCCCTTACCTTGGGGGGGTCTGGCTCTGAAGGAGGACTCCACCACCCTCCCGTGGAGGGGCTGGGCGTGCCGGTAGTCGTTGCGCAGGGTCCTGTTCTCCCAGTCCAGCAAGGTGTTCTCCAGGAGGCTGATCTGGCAGGAGCACAGGGCATCTTTAGAAGGGCAGTGGGAACAACTGTTGTGCCCAAAAAGCGCAGGGAAAACCCTGCAGCTCAGGATTAAACCCAACAGCTCCTTCCAGAGGCACCCTCAGGGGTCTCTCGCTGGGCGTTAGCAAGGGAAGGGAACAGAACAGGAGGGCTCTTATCAGCTAATTCCTGATAAAGGTATTTTGCCTGAGGGAAGTTCTGAACACCTGATGGTAATGCATGCATGGAAATTTTGCTGCTGTGCTGTAGCTTTCTCACGAGTGCCTTCCAGCCTTCCCCCCTGCCAGAAAGAGTATTTCTTTTCCAAAGGGAACACAGTGATCCTCCACTGCTGTAGTCCCAATTTTATCTTGCTCTTCTCCTAGAAGGAAATGTTTCTGATGCTCCTTTATTAGCTTAAAAGCATTACTTTCAATGTAAGTCTAGGCAGGGAAAAACCCTGATATACTGTATAAAAATGTGGCAACTATTCTGTAATTGTTTTAATGTTATGAATGGCTCTTTTATGGTAGTTTTGGGTTTTTTGGGGGGACTCTCTTACAGTAGTTTTTGCCTTGTTGATTCTGGCTGGTCTCTTCCTTTTTATAGTGCTTCTGGGTGAGCTTAACAGAGCAGAGAGCTTTGTTATCAGTCAGCTGACCTCAGGTAACCTGCTGCTCTACAGCACCTGACCCTTGCTGTGATGTGGCACCACAGTGTCATCACAGCCACCTGTAATTCCAATTGCTTAGGAATCTATCCCAAAAGCTCTGTAGGAGAGATGCCACATTATGTCATCTGTCAGGCTGTTCCCAAAATCACTGGAGGACAGAAAAGGAAAGGTGAAGCATGGAGGAAAGAGCAGCTGGTGACAGCTACCACTTACCTGTGTGTGTGACAGGACAACTGGGGAGTGGAAGATGGTCCAGATCACACTCTCAGAGCAGGGTGGGGTTGTCAGGGAGCCCTGGTACCTGTAGAAGTGTGAGAGGTTTTCTGGCAGCATGGCTTGGACATCCAGAGAACTCAGCTTTGTGGATTGACCTCAAAAGGGAGCAGAGAGGCAACATCAGCAATTAATGGGGAGTGAGGAGAGAGGTGGAAGCTCTGTTAGAGCCGAGGTTGGCAAATCCCTCTGCCCAGAGCACTGGTTTATCAGGCCTTTGGCAGGATGGATGGAGATGGAGAGAAATGAGTGGCCCTTCCAGTGGGTCTGTGGGTTGTCATTTGGAGGGACCTGGGTCCTGGGGGTGGGGGGCACCTGCACCCCAGTGCTCTGCCAGTACCTGCTGGTCCTCCCAGGAGGCAGAGAGTCTCAGTGGGTGTACAGACAGCAGGGAGCTGGTGTTTGGTGCTGCAGGCCTACCAGGGGTCTATTTATTGCTGCCTTGAGCACTTTCTCCCTCACTCTGCTGCTGTTGGAGCCACGTGGGCAGGGATGGTGTGGAGCTGGGCACGGCTGAGGATGCTCAGCCATGGAACTGCCAGCAAAGCAGCAGGAAGAGGTCTGTCCTCAGACCCAGCACCCATGTACAGGCTTTGAGAATAGCAGGGGTGGAGAAAGGCATTCCCAGGTCTTACCTGCAAACCTGATTCTTGCCAGTTTGGAGATGAATTCACTGTAGTAGGTGTTCTCAAAGTGCCCATCCTAAACACAGCACAGAAACCTTGATCAAAAGCTTTGTGACCTGCCTGTCCTTCTGCTTTGCTAATCAGCTCTGGGGACTAATTGATGAACTGGGGGATAAAGAGAACAGATGCTATCACAGGTCTGATGGGCTGGACAATGCTGGCCATGACCAGATGTGTACATAGAGATCTCAGGTAGAACAGGGAACTGTAAAGGTCCTTTTTCACCACTTTTAAATCCACACAAAGTCAAGTGTTCCCACTTGCAAAGCAGAGCAAGGCCTCGGTGCACAGCAGCTCCCACACCTGATATTCCATCTGCACTGCTTATGGGGCAAACTTGTCCGGGGCTCCCAAAATATATGGGCTGGTGTTGTGTGAACCCCAGATGGCCCCAGGGATAACAGTCCTGCTGCAGCACAGCTCTCTAAACTGGTGGCAGACACCATCTCTTAGGACAGATGCACAAACCCAGCACAGGCTGCTTGTGTCTGGACTGAGATCTTAGCACAGGCCCCGATCCCTGGGCATCAAACCTACCTTGTAGAGGAAGGCCAGCACAGCCAGCCCGTTGGGTTTGTCCTTGGCTTCTTCAAAGCTTGAGTAGTCAGCAGAGTTGTAATGGACAATGTGCAGCTGCCAGGAGAGAGACAAGGTCATTCAGCAACAAGTGATGAGTGGCTTCCTGGGTGCTGCCCAGGGCAGACTGCAGGGAGAGCCACCAGCCCAACTCCTGCTGCTTGTGCCTCACAGCACGGCCAAGGAGACCTTTGGTTTAACAGGTTTGTGATGAATGTGGGGGAAATCTCCATGTTAGAAGGACACCAGTGCTCTTGCAATGGCTTTTCTCACAGTCCTTCTGTGCCAGCACCGTCGGGCTCAGCCCTTGCACGGCACCAGCCACCTGCACTCCTGGGAGCCCTGTCCTTCCCCCGGGCCTCTGGATTGCTTCCTGCAGGCTCTGTGGGCTGCAGCTCCCAGTTTCCCAGCTGGCAGAGGTGCAGTGCCCCCTCCCTGCAGCCCACCCTGCTCACGTACCTCCGCAAAGTACCTCAGCCCGTCTATGGTGTGCTCGGAGCCACTGGTCTCCAGGTCCAGGCCACCCCAGTGCAGGTGCATCTGGACAGCTGTGTAGAGGCCTGGGAGCCCTCTGGAGATGTTCATGGTGGGTGGCAAATCGATCTGAACTGGAAAAAAAAACCCCGCCAGGATTGGAGACAGCGCTGGGTGCCATCCCGTTCCTGTGGATCCCCTCACAGTGCCTGCTGCTCCCTCTGGAATGAGCAGGCACATCTCAGGAATTAACCCCAGCGTGGAAGGGAAAACACTGAGCCTAAAGCTGGATGTGCTTAAAATCCTTCCTGGCCTCAGGCTTGTGCCCCACACAGCTCCCACCAGGGGCAGTAGCTGTGCCTGCAAACTCTTCCTCCGTCTGAGCAGCTCCGGGTTTGTCATTAGGCACTAATTAAAGTGCTTTAGTGATCAGCTCTTGCACAGCACATCGCTCCTTGCTGGGCTCTGCATAAATTTAACTACTTCCTTTCCCAGGAAGAAAAGGGGAATATAGAAATCAACAAAGTGATTGGCCTCATCTAACCTGTTGTCATAATTTCCAGCGTCCTGGACTCTGCATTTTCTAGCAACAGGCATACTGGGGGGAGCCCTGTACATTTGAAAAGGCTGTTTATTTCTTGAAGGATTTGTGGAGACAAATCTCTTTCCTTCTCCTTGCCAAGGAGTACCCACAAAGAAGCTACGAACCATTTGTCTTCCTGCTAATTCACTGCCACAAATCATGTGTCATGTTAATAAATATGCCAAATCTAGGAGTGAAAACGGAAGATTTGCCTCATCTAAATAAAAGCCCACAGCGTGTCATAAAAACTGGCAACTATCCTTGCAAAATGCAGCACACCATATTAGTCAGTAGTCATAGTTTGGGTTTCTGAGAAGTTCCTTTTGTTTGTGAACTGTTTACAGATGGACAAGATGAAAACATGTTTCCTTGTAATATCCCAAAGGGTCTAGAGTGGAGGGGGGGAAAAAATCTACCTTTTTTTCATGAGATCTCTGCTGCCTGCCTTCCATAATGAGGGTTATTTACATCAGGTACCTCACTGGGGTTTCTACTTTCCAGAGCTGTGCTTGCCCTCACTACCTGCTAGATGACCAGTCCTCTTTAAAACAAAAAGAAAGGCCCAAATGCAAAAGGTTTCATTAACCCAGGGTTATCTGTGTGAGTGTGTCTGCACACAGAGTCTGCACTACTGCAAACAGGCTTTATCAGGTGGGATTTAGCCTGATAATAATACAGCTACAGAGAAAATGTGTCTGGTTTCTTAGGTGAGACATCAGGGTTTGGCTCCTGAGAGCCTGTAAGGAGAGTCCTGCTGATAAATCCATCTTTCAGATCTGCTGAGTGTTTTCCCTGAGGGATTCTGCTGCCCTGTCCCCTCTCACTGAAGCCAGTAGAAAATCCCAGCCTGACTCACAGGAGCTGTGAATGGGCTCAGCCGTTTGTCCCTGTGCTTTAGGAAACTGCCCTGCACCGGAAAATCATTGTTGGGAAGTTAACAAAAGAACAGGGAGACACACACGTGCAGTCAGAAAAGCTAAACCTGCAAGAATTAATGTCTAGGCAGGCAGGGCAGCAGTGCTGACACGAGCTGAACGCCGAGCTTGTGTGGGCCACAAACGGGAGGCACAATTTTCAGACACACAATCCTCCTCTGAAGGCACTTTGTCTCTCATCACTTCATCTCCTTGCTCTCACACCGTATTTCCCCTCTCTCTGTTACAGAGGGGAAGAAAGGACTGTCGTGCAGGATTAAAGAGCTCAGAGTTTTATGTTCTGAGCACCTCCCCAAAACCACTCGTTCTCTCCCCACTGCAGCCATCAGAAAATCCTCTCATTGCTCATCTGTAGTCCAAAAGCATTATCCCAACAGTACCAGCTGATGAATTATTTAGGTAATGAATTACAGATTGCAGCAGGAGAGTCTGGGATCTTCTAAATTACAAGCCTCGCCCTGAAACTGTGTGGCCAAAGGCCAGGGTTTAACCTGTGCTGTGCTTCATTTTCCCTTCCTGAGACCCAAGATACCCATCCTCTGGCTGTGAGGGAGGGATCCTCTGTGTTGTACTTTGTGTGACCCACATCTAAATGAACCTGGGATGCAAAGGTTTCCATTCCTGTCACTTCTTACTAACACACAGGGTCAAAAGATGCATTTTTTAATGCAGAGAGGAGTCACTATGCCCCAAATACCACACACTGCTGTAGTCCTGTTGTCTTGTAGCACGTTAAAAGAAAGGGTTGATCTAGAATGCTCTGGCTGCCTTTTATCCCCTTTTCAGGTCTGACAGAGAAAATATCTTGCAGAAACCTAACTGCCCTTTATTTGTCTGGTTTATATATGTATTTCTGGAGAGCTTTCCTGGGTGATTGGGGAAAACAGCAAAACTAGGGGAGAGGAACCAAGTGAGATGGCGAAGTAAGGTGAGTTAAAAAAACCAAACAAATAAAAATAGGGCATTGTCTGTGAATAGCATTTCCATCAGTTAAAATGAGAAGTGTTCCTGAGCCTGACACCCCCCCAGCCTTACCAGAGTGACCATTGTTGGTCATCTTGAAATCCCCCTGCAAAGGCCCATCGTAACCATTCAGCTCCAGCTCCAGCAGCAGGGGGTTGTACCTCACTTTTTTCCTCTGGATGTCAACTGGAGATTGGCTCTTGCCAGCACAGTCTGGAAAGTGCTTCCCCCAGTGCTCTTCATCCAGCTCTCCTTCTGTGAGGAGGGGAAGCAAGGCAAGGTTACAGGGGTGTGGTGAGGAGTGCTGTTAGTCGGGAGTGGGAGAACTCCCCTCGTTTGCCAGCAGGAAATGTCGATCTAATTACTGGAACACCAGGAGATGCAGCAGTAAAAGGTTGCTTTGCCTTCCCTAGAGGGAAAATACACATTATTCTGTCTGCAGGACAACTGTGCTGCAAAGTGAGAAACCTGCATTGCAGCAGCAGCTTAATGATGGCTGGAGACTGAGCCTCCACCAAAAGGGGAGCAGTGTTTGTATGGAAATGGGGATTTAAATGGGGCTCAGCTGCCAAAGGTGTGGAATTCAGTTCTCAACGGTGGGAGTGAATAGGATCAGGGCAATAGGCAGGAAGACTCTACTTGGGATCAGGAACTGGCAGCAATTTGCTATTTTTAACTGGGGTAAGACCAATTGCAATATTGCAACTATTCAACATCCTTTGTTGTAGTTTGATTACCAGATCATAAAAGGATTAACATTTACTTCAGTGAGCCCTGCAATCAACTCCCTGAAACAAATGCAACTGTGAAAAAATTTCACGAAAAAATATAAATGCCCAAATAAGGACTTCTTAGTGCTCTGTACTGCCTGGAACGTGACAATAAAATAAGAAGTAGGCCGTATTTAAAGCTTTTCCTTCCAGGATCATCCAAAGGGCAGCTTTTCTTCTAACACAAGTAAAGATATCCCCCATTGTTTGAACCTCGTTGTGCTGCCAACCCTGACAACGTGTCCTAACCACACAAAGGAGTAAAAAGGGGTGACATTGAAGAGAATCACTTTAAAGACACAGAGGCATCGATAAAGTGGAATAAATTAGTTGCTCTGTGTTCTTTCACTGAGGGAGAGTCAAGCTGAGTGTTGCTTCTGCAGCACAAAAGGGGAGGGAGTGTCTTCAGCAGCAGAGACCCCAAACTAGCCTTGTTTTTCGTTACCTTTGTAAGTCCAGTGCACCAGGTGAGAGCAGCTCAGGGGCAGCAGGAGCAGGTGGAAGAAGGCAGCTCGGAGCCACATGTCCCTGGCTGTACCTGCAGTGGCACCCAAGGTGGGGAGAGCTTTAAAAACCCTCAGGAGGTGAAAATACCCATTTGCTGCAGGTCTGGCCTCTCCAACACCCACCCTGCCCTTCTCCTCACCCAGCCAAAACAACAACAGCAAACAGCATCACGGAGATAATATATTTGGACAGTCAGCTTTATTGACCCTCGTAACTAAACTGTGCCTGCAAACAGGACAGGTTCCCCCCCTCCATGGCCAACGCTGATCTGAGTCGCTGTCTGACCACTCTTCCTGTCCATTCATCCATGGATTGAAAAGCTTCGTTGCAAGTATTGGTAAAACAGTGCTTTGTAAGCAAAAATACCCAGCACAAATCTCAAACACTGTCCTGAGACAGCCAACTGTTTCCTCCTCACACAGAGGCAGAAGGCATTAAGGGAGCATTCACAATCTTATTAGAAATCAAAACTGTAGGCACTTAGTCCCTGTGAAAATCAGACTTTTGAGGCCAGGTTTAAAACCACTCCACACCCCCAAGCCTTTAGAATTTAAAGCACTTTGCTTTTGACACCTTCCCTCCTCACTGCAAATCTAGTTTTGAATGGGAGGGATTTGCAACCTTTGAAAAATTCAGAGCTCTCAAAAAAAAAAAATAAAAAATTCAGACTGTTGAAAGATACAGGTGTGATAGGAGAGACTGAAACCCTGATGGCTTTCTAAAAAACATAGAGAAATTCAAATAAAAACCAGCAGGTGACAGATGCCTAAATGCTCTCGTGGACTTCAGCAGCTGCTCTGTGCATCTTCAGACATTTGATTTCCTTAAAAACATGTCCCAGGCAAATATGGTCCACTAAAAAAGTCACTTGGCAGAACTGGGGAACAGCCCATGGATCCTCCTCCTGCCTTTTTGTATCCTGTTACCAAGCAAATGCCATTCCCTCCAAAAAACCTTCTCTTCCCTCCAGGAATGACGTACCACCAACAGCCCTTCCTGCCCAGCAGTGCCCCCCGACCCATGGCTTTGAGACAGAAGGGGAGCAGAAATCTCCTCCCTGGGGGATGGAATTTTCACCTGGCACTGAGAAGAGCTACAGCTTCCCCCAAAGACAGGCAGCAACATCAAACATCTGGCAGGAGAGCAAACTCAGGTCAGTGCCACCTCAGCACTGCTGTTCACGACATCCCTGCCGCTTGCAATAAGATTTGCAATTATTTTCAGAAACAAGGAGGGGGATTTTCAGGAGTAAGGTGATTTTCAGTCGGTCAGAGGCGGCAGCAGTGAGGGAATTCCAGGGCTGAGGGTCAGACTGAGCTGTACAGGGGGGTCCTGAGCTCAGAGGCAGCTGGGTGGCAGTTTGGGTGGCAGTTTGGGCAGGTAGGGCACGGAGGTGCTGCAAGTGCTCAGCAGGTCGTTACACTTGCTAAGAGAGCTCAAACTGTGCCTGCCCCCAGCGTGGGGACAAGGCCTCTAAACTCATCCAAAAAGATGTGGTGACCCAAACAGAGCTCCCAGAAAAAAAAAAAAAAAACAAAAACATGCAAAAAACACCATGTAGCTGTCCAGGGTTGGGGCTGTAGGGAGTGCCCGACTTTCCAAGTGGGTTTATGAGAAATAAAAATATGGTTTTTTAGGAGTATCACAAAGTTGTAACATATCCAAGTCTCAGACTGTCAGGGTCTTTTTTGGATGGATAAGTGAAATATAAAAATTCCTAAAAATTAAAATCTTTCGGGGCCATGTGAGAATTTTGTGCACAGGGGTTTCTCTTCTCTCTTTGGGCTAAGAACAAAGGAAGATCCATCATTTTTGCCCAGTGGCCAATTGGAAAGAAGGGAAAACCCCTTTTTGAGAGAAAAGAAACCTTTTTAGGCAAAAACGAATATATTAAGCCCTAAGAGGGCATCCACAACTTCCCTGGGCAACCTGTGCCAGCACCTCACCACCCTCCCAGGACCAGCCACAATTAAA